AGACTCTAACCTTTTCTAGCATGTAGGTTTCCAGGGATCAGAGTGAGCTTGTCATGATTGTTTATTTAGATACCCAGGTTCTTCATACTTTTGTATGTTACTTCTCTCTTGTATAATGAAGTTCACAGAGAAAATTAATATACAACACTGACTGTCCTGATACTGTGTAAACATTATAAAATGTGAGATAAGCATACATATCCTTGTGTGATTTACTTTTTTTCAAGAAGCATATGTAAGGTATTAAAATACTAGGATTTCATTCATTCTTGTAGATGTTCATTCATAAGAAATCTAGAATGAAAATATAATTTCTTTGGAATATTTACTAATAACCTGCTCGTAAAGGTAAAATTCTTGTGTAAACTCATTGGCATTTCTAAGGTATAATTATATTATCTTTTCCAATGCAAGCTTGTATGAAACATCATTTTTGCTCATCCCAGTCCTTAAGCTGTGCAGAGCAAGTCTGTCTTATGTGCATGTTGCAGAGTGTTATGGAGACAGTAGCTTCTGTTATTCTGCACTTTGCTTCTTTTGTGTTCAGATTCAAATATCATTAGATTGGTGATTTGATGTGGATTTTTCTGTGGATTTTTATTACATTTCAAAGCAAAACTTTTTAATTTTCATAAACTCACAATTTACCATACTCTTCCTTTTATCATTCATGTTGTATATACTTTAAACAGTATTTATTTTCCCCAATACAAGTGTTGCGTTCTGGGGGGAAAGGTATCCTGGCAGTCGAGAGCCAAGGAATACCACAAAGTTACATTGCATAACAAACCTCACAGAAGAAATTTTTTGGGAAAGACACAAGAGGGTGGCTACCTCTGCTTAGGAGCCTCTGCCTTCCCATTCTTTTCTCTCATACACTGGGCACTCTTCTCCTTTCCCCAAAAAAGTTCAGTTTATTTTGCCCAAGAAGTCTTTGGAGTGGGGCCTGCCATGGCCTGTGGTCAACCTACTAGGGATCCGATTTAAAACTCTTCCTCTTCCAACAGCTATCACAGGCCAATGGCTTCTCAACAAGGGGTGGGACTTGGTGCTCACCTGGCCACCTCTTTGCTGGGAGTTTGTTTGACCTAAACTTGCATATGTCCTCTGCATGCTTATATAATCACTGTAAGTGCTCTTCCTGTTGTGTTGGGAAAACACTGTCTCCTTGAAGTCATCTGCCACTGCCAACTCCAGCTCTTAAATTTCTGCCCCTTCTTCCAGGAAGAATCTTGTGCCTTGAGGGGTAGATTGTGGTACATAGGTCCTATTTATGGCTGAGCATTCCCCAGTCTATTCTCCTCTGTGCATTGACTTATTGAGGATCTGTTATTTTCTTTGCTGCTTTTATGATTTTTCTTACTGTCTTTAGCTTGTAGCAGTTCAGTTATGATGCACCTAGATATGGTTTTATTTTATTTTCAGCACATTATACTTTTTATTACTATAAGCTAATGGTTTTTGCAAAGTTGTGAAATTTTGTAATAATATCTTCAAAATATTGTCTACTCCTTCTATTTCTTCCTCTTTGATTATAGTTGTTGAGCTATAAAAGTTAGTTATGCTATATGGTTTTAAACCATAAAGAAAATTAAAATAAGAGGAAATTATTACTGAAATATCACTTTCTCAGAAAATTTAGTTTTTTAAAAGTGCACACTATATGACATTTACATAGCAAATGTTAATGTTGCTTGTCTTTTTTCCTTATTCTTAAAAAATCTCTCTAGGTGCCTTTCCTACCTCAGCTGTCTATGCAAGAAAGGACTTGCTACAAAGATCTACCCACATTGCTACCAAGACGTTCCAAGCTCTTCGCATCTTTGTGAACAATGAGCTCAATGAACTCTATACGGGACTGAAAACAGCACAGAAATTTCTGAAAACTGGTGGTCGTCTTGTTGCGCTTTCCTTCCATTCTTTAGAAGATCGCATTGTCAAACGATTTTTGCTTGGGATAAGTATGACAGAAAGATTTAACCTCAGCATCAGACAGAAGGTAAGGCAAACTGCACGGCTGGATTCAGATCATGAGAGTGAGGGGAGCAGCTCTGGAAGAGCTCCTCTGATGTGGGATCTGATTCACAAGAAGGTGCTTACCCCAGAAGATGAAGATGTCCAAGATAACCCCAGAGGGCGCTCAGCCAAGCTCAGGGCGGCTATCAAATTATGAGGATCTTATCATCAAAGTTTCCTTCTATACTTCTAATATTTTTCTAATTGAAAACCTTGTTTCTGAACAGTTTAATGCAATGTAAAGTATGGGGCAGCCTGGAAATTAGTGGTATTTAGTATTTTTATCTCTAAGGATAATAAAGGAAGTTTTAACATGACATAAAACTTTCACTCAGAGAGCAGAGAGTCTCAAAACTGTAAGCACTTGTTGATCTCTGCATTGCATTTGAATTATAAAATTCAATTCTTTCTTTAATGAGGAAATGGAAAGACTATGACATTGTATTAATTTAGGTTTGTAAACTCAAGCTGTCAAAAGAAAGATAATCATATTTGTATGATGGAGGAAGGACATTGGTTAATTATAATAAAGAAACTGCCTTGGCCCATTTTATTGGTTAGAACATAGGTGGGTGGAGTAAACAGAAGAG